CATTAAAGCTATTTGCCAAAACTAACATCCATAATTCATGACTACTCAGAAGCATACTGCTTGCCCATCAGGAAGAAAATGGTAGTGTTTTTGTACCTAGCAATCAGTACTTTGGAGTCTGCCAAAACCATTTGCTAGTCCCTTCTTATAAGAGATGCCAACATTTTTGTTCTGTCAGTGGGATGATTGAGTCTTTTTTCTCTTTTCTTTCTTGCTGGGGATAGAGCCCAGGTCCACAGACATGCTAGGCAAGCACTGTACCCCTAAGATACATCCTCAGCCCTGGCTGGGGTGATTCTTGTACTTCAGCTGATTCTGAAATGCCTTAGAATTATGGATGTGGGAGGAAATTTCAGAGTTCACCTGCCCCATCAGGGGCATTTTGCAAAAGGGGTTTTATTAGAAACAGGGAATAAGGCAGAATCTAAAAAAAAAAAAAGTTATTTCAGATAAACTTCTGCATGTAGATCCAAATTCTGTTGAAAGTTCTCTAATCAGGAAAATATGTTGGGAAAATTTACAATTCCAATAATTGCTGGTTCTAGTCCCAGCTGAAACTGGGAAGTGAAAGAGATCAAGTGCCAAGCAGCCCTAAAGGTCAGAGTATTTCATTTAGTAAAGAAAGGACGGGGACAAAAAAGAGGTAGAGGTACACGTTTTGAGTGGCACATGAAGTGATTCAGCCCAGTACATTATTATGTAAATTAATTCTCTCAAAATGATTTAAAAAAATCAGTGAATTCAGTTTTCAAACAGTTTGAAGTACTTGCTGTCTTAAAACCTTCCTGTGTTCTCATGGAGAACTGTATCAACATCGGTGGGGGATTGGAGTGATCTCTACCTTGTTTCTCAGAGGCAGAAGTATCAATTTGATATCTGTTCCAACACCAGAATGTACCTGCTACCATTGGAAGCCAAATTTACTTCAAAGTGTTGTTTTTAAATCACTATGCCATATGGAAACACAAGTCCATGTTTATAAAAGCCAAAAATAAGTAACAGAATATCTAACATTAGGAAAAATGGTTTAAGAATTCCATTTTCTTTAAAGGGAAACCTAACTTTTCTTGTTCTTTTAGGCTGTCAAATGTGAATGTCTATGGAACTCATTATGAATGCCATTCGCTGCTAAACAGATAAATATAAATATATGCTTATACATAAAAGTGATATATAAAAATATGTAACAGATATGTAAAAATATAGATATGCATGACATGATTAAATAGTAGCTTACAGAAGTCTTATTTTGAACTAAGAAATCTAAGTCTATAAAGAATATTTAAATAATCTAAAAGAAGAAGTGTGTGTGTGGGGGGAGCTGGAGAGATGCCTTTACCTGGCTTGAAAAAGTTCCCATACATACTTTTAAAAAATCTTTCAAAGACTACTTGACAGAGCCAGGGAATACTTCCAGAGCATGTAATCACTTATTTCAGGGAGAAAATATTTTCTTTTGGTGAAGATCTTCTATACCCAATGAAATGAGTAACTAACAAAAAACTTACTAGAATTTTAATCCTTCTTAATCAGATTAAGATGCTCCAATAATTAAAGTCAGCATTCAACCCTCCTCCTCTATTGGCCACATCTCCCATGGTCTATTTTTACATTTTTATCTATCAATGCTTAAGAATTAAAATTTTCAGAAAACATAATTCCCATAGAGAGCTTTCCACTCTGAAAAATGTGTCTGGGAGGGAGATTTTCTATGAAGAAGCCAGTTTCTTCTATCCAAGAGCCAAGCAAATTTTCTGGTAACGTTCCAGAAAAAAGCTACAAAAGACTCCTCTGCTCTGCCTGGGGAATCTTAGTTGCTAGATTGACTTTACCCATCTACTGACGATGATATTTTGATGTGATAATGTGAAAACCAAATAAAACTTGATAAGAAAAAATTCAAGTCCAGTGGACGAAAGATAGTGTGTTTTTCACCAGATTTATATATGCACTCTACAATTCTGTAGCCTTGAAATATAACATTCCCCCTCAAGTCTAGCTGTCTTGCTCTGACAAATTAGCATGAGACTGTGGAACATAATTCTCTGTTCAGATTTCTGAGTCAACTGATATCCGTCCAGTCATCAGCTGGTAGTACAGGACTGAATTTCACCAATGATTTCTCTAGCTAAGGTATTTTTTGGGTAGAAGCAGTACATGCCACAGAACCAACTTCTCCTTTGGTACTTTTATTATAATCCACTGCTTCTGGGTGCAAACTGTTCCAAGGGCACATCTTCTCCCTCCCTCCCTAGGACCTACCCAGCCACGACAGAATCTCCATATATCTCTTTTTTTCAAATTAAAAAAAAATTTTTTTAGTTGTCAATGGACCTTTATTTTATTCATTTATATGTGGTGCTGAGAATAGATCCCAGTGCCTCGCACGTGGTAGGCAAGCACTCTGCCACTGAGCCACAACCCCCATCCCCACATTTCTTTATCATCATTACTCATTTGTTGTGGTCCCAACACTAACATCTGCCCTTCCTTCTTCCTTTCTCTCTAACTCATTAAGAGAAATGTTGAGATTCAAGGTTAATGAAAAAATCATAAGACAAATCTTAAGAACCTAAGCCTCAGGGAAGAGAGATTTTATGTGGATAGCTAATCTTCCAAGTCCAGCCTAATCTGTCAAGTACCGGCTGGCCATTGTTCAGGATGTCCTCCTTGAAGCGAAGTTTTCGTTCCAGATCTTGAATGACAGCATCCTTTGTGCCTTGAATCTCCTCATCAGAGGCTATTCTAGCAGTTCTACTGGCCTTCTTTGGAAATCCCCTACAGAACAAAAGCACAAGATCATAATGTCAGTTGTCAGGCATCTAAATCCAAGTTAGAATTCAAGTCCAACAAACAGACAGAACAACGTATCAACATGTCATTCCCACATTTTTTTTTTTTTTTAATGCTGCATCTATTTCAACTATTGTGGAAAGAACCTTGAATGTGAAAGCTGGTTTCAGAAGTTCAGGAACCACTAATTGGAACCAGTTTTCAGAGAAGGTTCAAATACCTTGGGGGAGTGTGTCTCGGTGGTTAGTCAATACCGAGAATAGGAAAGGCCTGTATTTTAGTCCCAGGGAAGCAGAAATGTAAAGTGAAATATTGATGTGATTTATAATAAGGCCTAGATTTCAAATCTGACTCTACCTTGTTTATATTAGGTTTGTGATCTTGGGTAAGTTTTTTAAAACCTCTTGTAAAACATAAAAATATATACCACATAGGAATTTTGAGAAGATTTGAAAGAGGACATATTTCTTTCATACTTTGATTCAATTTTCTAGTCCTTTCATAATTCACTTGCCTAACCCATTCTAAGTGAATACATGTTGAATATCCCTTATCTGAAATGCTTGGGGTCAAAGTGTTCTGGATTTTGGAATATCTGCATGTACATAATGAGATCTTGGGGATGAGACCCATTTCTAACCCTGAAAGTCATTTATGTTTTCTACATACCTATACACATAACTGAAAGGTAATTTTATATAATATTTTTACTGTGCCTGCTTTTTGACTGTGACCCATCACATGAAATCAGGGGTAGAATTTTCCACTTCTGGCATTATGTTGCTGCTCAAAATGTTTTGGATTTTGGAGCATTTCAGATATTTGATTTTTAAATTAGGGATGTTCAACCTGTACTAAGTTTGTTAACTTTCTTTCTGTCCCTTATATGTAGAAAAAATCCTAACTAATAGAACCTAATTTTTCCATGTCCATGTTTTCAGTTATTTGCCCTTAAAGTTCAAATGAGAGCACACCAGAGTTAGACATTAAAAAAAAAAACACTAAAGATTTTTGATACTGTGATATTTTGTGTTTGTAATGTCAAAGAGATGGTTAGTTCAACTTCAAATTTTATCCTTTTCATTGGAGATTGAGAAGGATATCATTTATTTAGGGGGTTGGGCTACGAACTTGAGTCATGTTAGTAACAGCCATAAGAATTATGATTTATAATCTCAATTTTCACTAGTATGCGGCCCTTTAACAGAAATGTGCATAGTTTGCTAGCTTTCCTGTACCTGGAACCTCCCTCCCTTCCGTTTAATGTCTCTTGGAAAGTCTCCCTAAGTCTATCCAATTAGTCATGCAGGTACCATGTTTATTTTCCTTATGGTTTCTCTCACACTAATATTATGTGTCCTTAAATGGTTTCTCTCACCATGGCTCTTTTGTTTATCACAGTACTTGTTAACAGACATGCAGATGTTTCTGCAGTGAGTGGATGTCCTGTCTCTCTTTACTTATGACCTCTCTTTCCCTCTTCAGTCAAGGAAACTTGTGCCAGAGCCATGTAACATCAGATCTCATGTAAAAAGTCAGACTTGGGACAAGTAACTACTACTAAAATGGAAGCAAAGTTCTGCACTGCTTTTGACTATAGACTTACATCTGAGACATAGAAGAGCTAGGTTTTAAAGTCACTGGAAAGATAAAATTGAAGACAGCTCATTCTCTGTTACATCAGGTATTATTGGGCACACACAGTTTTCCATTATTACTCAAAGCCTGAACAACATAACTCAGTTGCACAACTATGTGATGATGAGCAGCCTTTGTTGACAGACAGCATCACTGTTTCTGCAGGTGGCTACACTGAGAGCTGTGTTCTCAGCATTGATGAGAATGAAAGGAGTAGGAAGGTGAATGTCAAGGGGAGAATAGGTCATTTAAACAAGAAAAGCAGAGAACGGGTAAAATGACTATCACAATTGCCTCCGACAAGTAAAAAGACACCTACAATTGTCCGGATGCTTAGAAAACACTTTTCACTATACTGGACTCCTCTATGGGGACTTAGAACCACTGCTCTGAAACATTTTATAGAGAAGCAAATTTGGGTTGTGTCCCTGCAACCCAAGAATTTTATCATTTCAGAGAGTACAATTTAATTTACTCTTTGACCCCCCAATAAAACCCCAAATCATTCTATATTTCTTTTAACAAATCCATTTCCTAAAATAACCAAGATTGCCAACAGTAGAAGGACATGTAACTTAATTCTTCTTTTCCCTCTATTTTAAGAACATTTTCCTTGACTGACAGAATTTTAGGTACTCATATTTCTTTGGTTCTGAATATTCCAATAGTTCAATAGTCATTCCATAACAATAGTCATTATAATGGCCAACAGAGGCCACTATAAAGCTTGGGGAAAGAGGTAGAGAATACAGCATCTAGCAAGGTACAGTGCTAGGTTAATACATCAACCCAAATCTGGTTAAGTCTAGACATAAATAGTTGGTTTGTAAAGTGAGTTTATTGCCTGATGACATCATGGAAAACTACTATGAATGAAAAATGTTATGCATAAAAGGGTGGGAGGAAAAAAAGCTTTATCACTATAGTCTCAACATTATCTTATGTGGGATTGCAAAGACAACCAAATCCTAAAGGAAGGGCCTTCATCACAAGAGGTTAGTTAACAATCAAGTTGGGAATAAGTTAAGGAACAAACCACATGGTACTCCTAGATACAGCACAGTAAAAACTGCTGGCTAGAATGAGTGCTGAGGACTTTACTGAGGAGGTGAGTACCTGAGGCAGACTATGAAAGGTGATGGCAGGTAGCAAAGGGGACAGGAAGGAATTCAGAGGCAGCATGATCAAAGGCACAGAAGTGGGAATCAATCGCTCTCTCTCTTTCTTTCATTTAACCACCAAGGAGCTCCAAGTCTTGGGCTAGTTACCTAATGACTCTGTGCCTCAGTTTCCTCTTCTGTAAAATGTGCATATGAACAGCATGTGCCTCATAGGCCCACAACATGAGCTAGCATATGTTAAGCACTTAGAACAGGGCCTGGCATCGTAAGAGTGATCTGGAGAGGCCAACACAAAATGTCCAGCATGGAAATGAATCACAGAGACGAGACTTGCCAAGGGAAACTGAATGAATGAGGGGAAGGAGTTTAAAAGGTGCCAAGAGTTTCCAATAATGCACAAATAACCCTCACTGACTGCCCTTTCAATGCTCAACTCTGCTGTTCTAGGTGCTGGGAATACAATGCTGAACAAAACTAAGTCACAATACTTAGAAAAATTATATTGTATGGTGGAGGTGACAGAGAAAGGAAGAAAAGAAGAAGAAGAAGAAAAGGAAGGAAGGTAGTGAGTGCCACAAAGTGACAGATGTATGGTAGATAGCTGTATTAGTATTAACTATCAGCTCTCTAAGAAGGTGACACTAGAGCTGAGGCCAGGGGTCAAGGACATTGTTGGTTGTATGAAAACTTGTAGGGAGAGGGCTAGGCAGAATGGGTCAGCCAGAATGAGCCTGAGCAGGGCCAACAGATGCCATTATAAACCTTGGGGAAAGAAGTAGACAATACAGTTTTTCTCATACTTATTCTAATACAGAACCTCTCTTTTTTTTTCAGAGAGCATCTCCTTAGGGAACTGTTAAAAACAAGGTAAGGTTTAGGGTTAGCATGTAAGTTTAGTGTTAGAAATCAGAAAAGGAGTTATTTGGGAAGGGGGAGACACCAGGAAAGAAAAGCAATTATACATTTTTGAAGCAATGCTTTGGCAACTGAGTTTGTTTTCCTATAAAACTATTTCTGTGCTGGAGTTTAATGTAAAATGGTTGTGGGTTTGTGCCCCCAAATGTCACCTACTTTTGATAAATGAGGAGTAGCAACTCATTAGGGGGAAAAAAAGAGTATCTAGTGACAAAGGGATGCTTTCTGTTCATGATGGTTTGTACAATTTAAAAAGAAAAATGCTTATTCAAAGTAAATTGTTACCCAAACCAGAACTCTTCACAAAAATCCATAATCGGAGGCAAACCTTAATCAGTAAACAATTCATAACAGGCCGCCCGCATTTATACTTCATGTATACACACTCAGCCCAACTGTGCAAAAAACATTTCTGATCTGTTTACTCTGGCTTTAACAGTAAGTCATTTGCCATTTTAAAATAATATTCATGTGGTTGGGGTAAAACATTTAAAATATATACACAAGCATCTGGAAGGTAAAATCTTCCAGATTTGACCACTACCAAACCCAGGAGGTTTTCTCTCTCTTTTTTTCTTTCAACTACTGAAGAATTTTGAATATAACCATCTCTTGAATTGTTCTTCGTCAATTCTGTCAGTATATTTCATAAACTCAAATCTCCAGAATATAACATCGATTTAAGAGATCAAGAGCCTATCTAGCAACCAGAGAATTTTTTAAATTAGTTAAAAGTCTTCTTATTCTCCTCTTTACAAATTCAGTGAAATCTGAGGGTAACTAAATTCCACAAACATTACAGAGTGAGCAAACTCATTAATATACTGGCAAATATTTAGGTATCCCTTATATTCACGAAAGTAATATATTCATCTAAGATACACAAACTGAATTTTGGTAGACCAATTATTATTATTATTTTTTTTTGTACCAGGAATTGAACTCAGGAGCACTCAACCACTGAGCCACATCCCCAGCCCTATTTTGTATTTTATTTATAGACAGGGTCTCACTGAGTTGCTTACCACCTTGCTGTTGCTGAGGCTGGCTTTGAACTCAAGATCCTCCTGTCTCAGGCTCCCGAGCTGCTGGGATTGCAGGCATGCACCACCATGTGGGTGATTCAATTCTATTTTTAACAGAATTTATTGTGATGCAAATAATAAGTACAAAAATGGGTTTTGAGATCTTACTTAAGTGTTCTAATATTAAATTCTCTTCACATTATCTATTGTGAAGAATGAAATGACAAAGATGCATTGTCTACACCTATTGGTTCACTCTGTGCAACTCAGTGCAGAGCCATGCACTACTTGACAAGTCTAACTCTGAGCTGACCCTGGTGCAGAGATATTTATCAGAACCATCACTTTGTGAACTCAGATGTGGCCTTCCCTACTAATCTGTTGGGAAATACTTGCCCAGAATAGGATGTGATTTTTTAAAATGAAATCATCTGATATACTGGACCCTAACAAGTCTAATAACAAGATTCTGGGCATGTCCCCAGCCCCTTCAGGTCTCTGCTCTCTGATGGAGAATGACAAGGCTATCACCAATCTGTTTTCCTGAAAAATGAGAAAAACAGAAATCCTGAGATGTCTTCACAGCCCAATGTCCCTTTGTCAGGTTCATTTTTATTGGTTACTCTTAACCAATGTCTTGACTTGAAAACTGTCTAGAATGCCCTGCATATCTAAAATTTGAAAGTACAACTAAATCTGGTACAAACTTTTCCTTACCACTCAGGGAACTTTGTTTTGTTGCTATTGCAACAGTTTTCATAATCAAGAAATGTTAGACAACACATTTATTAGCAATAAACAGAGACACGGTTAAGTCATGCTATATACCCTCCTGGCTCAGGCTTATTCCAAAACCCTAGGAAATCTCTTCACCATTTTAGTGTAGAATGAAGACAGTGTTCCTCACCTCTCTATTTCCTATAAGTCAGGAAAGAGGGACACTGAAATATGTTTGTAAAGAGCTGAGTGGCTACAAAATATAAGCTCTGAATAGTACATCTGTAAATAAGTTCTTACTGACACATGCTCTTAGTGACAATCATTTAGACACAAAGCCCTACTTACATGAAAGAGGCAATTAAGAGACACAGTAGCAGTGTGACTATGTGGCTTTCTCTCAAGAGAACAGATTCCAGCACTGTCAATATGGGCAAAAGATACAGTGCCTATCCAATTATCGGAGATGGCTTTGATCTGATTCATGTTTCAGACTCAGTACTGCTGCTCGGAGACCAGCAGAGACAGAAATTCCTACCCTCTCTTAGGGCCAGTTTTCTGTGTGGAGAAACAAGGTTACAGGAATACATGTTTGCGAGGCATGTTCTCCTCATGGTCTCCATCAAAAGATCCAGTCATTTGCCAGTAAATGGATAGAGCTGGAGAATATCAAGCTAAGTGAAATAAGCCAGTCCCCCAAACCAATGGCCTAATGTTTTCTCTGATATGCAGATGCTAATTCACAATGAGAGAGGGGGTACTAGGGAAGAATAGTTACTTTAGGTAGAGGACAGTGAAGGGAAGGGAGGGGATAGGAAGGATGGTAGAATGAAACAGACATTATTACCTTATGTACTTATATGACTACATGACCAATGTGCCTCTATAACACGTACAATCAGAAAAAATGAGAAATTATACCCCATTTAGGTATTACAAAGAGCATACAAATCCATTCTACCGTCATGTATAACTAATTAAAACAAATAAGAAATTTAAAAAGATTCAGACATCATTTGTGTCTGTTAGCACCTCTGAGCAGGGTGACATTTCTCTGCTAGTGACCCAGTCACCTTGGGGAAGAATGTAGCTGCCTGAAGAAAGAAGACACTTGAGGAACTGGATGTGCACAAGTTCCCCAAACCGCAGTCGACCAACAACATGCTGTTGCTGTAAGTCTGGGGCAGGCCCGTCTTTTCCTTCTTGGTTTTGTGGTTTATCACTGGCATCCATAGCCTTTGTTCCCTGTCTTGACCTCTGCTACCTAGATGTGAGAGAAACAGAACCTGATCTCCACAGACTACTTAAAAACCTAGGGTGTACCAATCTCCTCCTCTACAGATTGAAATAAGAACAATGCTAAGCACACACAGAATAAAGTAGAAGGTATACAGTTGATAATAAAGAAAGTTGAGATATCTGAAAATGATATTTAAGATTTTGGTTAAAGGCAGGCATTAAAAAAAGGTCTAATGAGTTTGTTCATTGAGTCATTCATCAATTCATTTGCTAGACCTTGACATATTTGACAATAGTTTGGCAGCTCTTCAAAGTTCAAAGATGCCAGTTAGTTATAGAAACCCTGAAAGGGACACTGGATCTTTGGCAGATTATTTGAATTATTGTGAAGGATAATTACCAAAATTTTGCTTTTAATTCAGAATGCAAATGATGGATTCCACAGTATACCAGAGGGGAAAAATATTCAAAAGACACATGTATCAAACCAAAAGAATGAATTCTTCAAGATTGTGTGATTTAGCAACAGGAAAATTCCTTCAAGACAAGAGGGTAACCACATAATAATGGCTTATTGAGCTAGCACAGAGCTGAAGTCTGGAATCTGGTATTGCCACTTCTCTTTGGAGTCATAGTTCGTTCTCTCTCTCTCTCTCTCTCTCTCTCTCTCTCTCTCTTTCTACAGTTTGCCACAGCCCAGAACAGTGTGACTTCTCCATTAATTTTTAAGAAACTACAGAACTGTTTTGTGGTAACAATTATAAATATTTGGCCTCATAAAATGAGTAACTATGATAGATGGCGATAAGAGGCAAGTTTTCCTGTTACTTGAGGTTAAGTAAACCCTTAAAACTGGTATCTTCTTAAGAGGATCTAAAAGCAAAGATCAGAATAAACCACTGTTTCTTCTTACGATGATTAAAGGCACTACCACCTAATGCCTTCGAAAGACTAATCTTTGATCAAATTCTCTATGAGAAATATTAGAACAGATTCTATGGTACTTATCTTCCTGGGAAGCAAGATTTGGTACCATTTTAGTGAGAGAACTGTCAGGCATCAAGCTTCTACCCTGAATCTTTCTGGTAAATTAGCTTCTTTGTAGCCAGATGATGTTTCATTTTCTAGCAGCCAAATACAAGTTCAAAAAGAAAAGTTGAGGAGAAAGTCCAAATTTTTCCTTAGGCAAATTCCTTGACTTGACTTTCATTAGAAGTCTATTATCATATCATTACTGCACAGATTCTGTTCTTTTATTTACTTATATATGCATTTGTGCTTTTTTCCAATAAGAATCTGAGAAGCCAGATTTCCAACAGAGAATTCATGTAATCAACATTTAGAAAGTGCCCAACAAAACAAGGCTGTGAAGCTCTCTGACAACCCAGTCAAGGCCAGAGACAGAAATGCTTGTCTTTAATGTGGCATTAGTTCATTCCAGCAATGGAAAACTTTATATATAGAAGAAAATAGTATAGTTCTAAGGTCTGCCCAATTTTATTCTTTTGTGGGGTTTATTTTGTTTCTCTCTGAAGAATACTGGGTTTCTGGCAAGCTCTGAGGTAGGAGTTCAGCAGGTAGAGTTGAAAGTAATACTGAGACTGGCTTCACCATCGCTATCACCTACTCAGTTTTGAAATCTTTGGTAAAGTGAGTAACTGCTAGCTTTCAAAACTCATTTTACTCTTCTATAAAACACAAACACCTGTATGATATGCTACTTCTGAAGGCTTTACTACACTTCTGTAGATGTCCTCTTATTTAGCTTCAACCATTTTCTATTTTAAAGAGTTCATAGCTGGAAGTGGTTTTCAGACTTGTAATCCCAGGTACTCAGAAGGCTGAGGTAGGAGGCTCATTAGAGCCCAGGAGTTTGGGGCCAACCTGGGTCACCTCAGAAACCAAACAAAAAGCTGTCATAGGGTTGCCATTATAGGTTCAGGAAAGCAGATATTAGATAATTTACAAAGAGAAAAAGTGAGAGGAGTCATATAAACTACCTGTTTTCAGGGTCAGAATTGGTACCTCCATTTTTCACTAAATTGCATACAGTCTCACTTATTTGCACTAAAATGTAAATACATTCACACGCACCCCATCACTAGATGCTTATAAAAACTTAATACTAGTTAGGGTTTTTCTCAAACACTGAAGTGTATACTTAGTAACCAAACCCCTCCACATCTATTGGAATACTGAGTTGAAATGCTTAGTTTGGTGGCCACAGTACATGGGTTCAAATCTTAGTTCGATGGCTCTGTGGACCCCCACCCCCAAATTATTTTAACTACTAGAATCCTCATTTGTTTAAGTGGGACAATGATGACTCTTGGGAATGGTGTATCATGAAATAGTATATATATATAAATTGCTTAGCACAAAGATGGATAAGTGGTTGCTAGGGTCACTGTTATCACAATTATCATGAGCACTGCAGTTCTTGATGGGAATCTAACTTGGAGGAAATAGTGTTGATCTAGGTGAAGGTAAGATAACTATGCAATAACAGCTTTGAAAAGCTGCTGTGATCACTTAAAAAATCGGATGGAGGGAAATTCGTATATTGCTACAGTGGTACTCCCCGGTCGCAGACTTGTGGGCGTAGTGTCTTAGGGAATGTGGGAGCTGCGTGCAGCCTTGGGTAGGCGGGGAGGTGGAGGTGTGCGGCTGTCACTCACGCGGGGGTGACGCCCTTGGGCAGCCCCAAGGCATTGACGGCCAAGGGCGGTGGCTGCGAGGGCAGCAGGGAGCTGAGGAAGGCCGCGGGCGTCTGGCTGTGGCCGAAGCGGGCCCCGGGCGAGGCGCACTGGGAAGCCGGAGCCGAGCTCGGGAGCGGGGGCGGCGGCGGCGGCAGCGGGAACACGTCGGGCACCGGGAAGGCGCTGGTGGGGCTGAAGACCGGGGGCGGCGGCGGCGGGGGCGACGGGGAAGACGGGCACCACGAGGCCTCGGCCTCGGCCCCGAAGGGCTGCGCGAAGGGCGGCACGGGCGCGCGGCCGAACTGCTTCAGCGTGGGGGACAGGGGCGACGGCAGGCTGGAGGAGCTGGGGCTGGAGGCCGGCGTGCCGTGGCCGGACGCGGGCCCGAGGTTCTGCGCGGCGATGAACTGCTTGGGGCGCGCGTAGTTGAAGGAGCCGGAGGACTGCATGGTGGAGGCGGAGCGGGAGGTCAGCGCGCTCATGGGCTCCGGGGAGGCGGGCGACGCGCAGGCCGCGAGCTCGGGGAGGGCGGGCGGCGGCGGGAAGGGCGGCGAAGGGGGCGCGCTGCGCAGGGCGCCCGCCTCCTGCTCCAGGCGGATTTGGTTCTGGAGTTGCTGGATTTTCAGAGGGTCCCTGGGGAGACAGAGAGGAAGACACCTTCAGAGAGGGAACTGCGAGGAATGCTCCTTCTAGATAGGGAGACGGACTCTGACCACCCACGCCAGCCCCAGAGTGCACAGGGTGTTGTCCCGAAGGCTGTTGCCCCAACACCCTGGACCAAGCGCTAAGTCAGTCAAGTGTATGGGTAATGGCAGTGTCAGTTTTATATACGATGATCTGAACCCGTGTACACTGACCCTGATGAAACTTGTGGGCTTCCAAGTGCTCTATTTTAACCACACCAGGAACACGAAGGGAAGGACTTTGATGTGAGTTCTCAGTCCTCTCATATATACCAATTAAAAATAATAATTCTATCAAAATGAGAGAGAGAGGGGGAAAAACCCACTTGGTTGAAGTCATTTTTGTAGATTTGTAGATCAGTCTACTTCAGTGTTGCCACCTCTGCGTTCAGTAAATACCACAGGCTTTATTCTCTGCATTTGTTCCCTAGAGAAGGTTTTACTATATGCAGAGTTTTAGTACACTCCGAATTGCCAATGACTTACACAGACCTTAATACATACAAATAGTATGTGACGTAGCTCCAGCACACGCAAATGGTGACCTCTATCTTTAACAGTAGGTGTCCCCTAGCAATAACAAGTTATTAAATTTTGTAAGAATATTGTAGATTTAGTTTTTTAAACATTTTCTATTGGGAGTTCAAATTTCAATTTTTGCAATGAAAGTTAGTAAACACTTAGCAGATGGCTAAAATCTCACTCTTATTCAAAAGCTTTCCTGTATAGCTCAATTGAACATCCAAGATGCTTTCCTTTATTCCTGTCAGGTAGACATAAGGACCAATGGCTGCCAAAAGAAACTTCAACAGGAGGTGGCACTATAACAAGCAGATAAAACAGCAATAATTTTATGAAAAGGCACCAAACTTTAAAAGTTAAAAACAAACAAACAAACACCTAAATTTCTTACCCCAGGTGTTTAATTTCCAAAAATAAATCTTTCAGAAACCCAAAGCAATTCAAGGGATTGAAGCTGCTAATACAAAGTCAAAAAAGATTTAGGTCTGTTATCAAGTATCGTTAGATATAGGACCAGGGGGAAGTTCTAAACTCCTTCCTGTCTTTTCTTCCCTCCTGTAATTAACCAGTAAAATGATCCCACTTAAATCCATAGGAGGAGGGGGGGGGAGGAGGAGGAGGAGGAAACTTTCTTGAGAACTGAAAGGAATAAAGAGAAAATGGTTCTGTATTCTTAATCTGTGCAGAGCATCAAAGATTCTTAACAACAAAGGACTTTGTGGGGTCCTAGTGAACTTAATTTGAACATTTAAAAGCAGCTATGCCACTGGGATTTGCCACTACCCTGAAGTTCCAGATGTCTGTGTGGTTTGGGTAGACTGTCCAGCACATGTGCTCCTGCTTCCTGTGTTTAGAACTGGCTTGGGAATAGGACTCATAAAAGCCACCCCTGAGCCCTCAAACCCATTATCCAGCACTCTCACTCTGAATCCCCAAATGCTCCTTCCTGATCTTCCTACCTTTACTGTCTCTTTCCTATTTCCTAGCTATGGCAAAATGCATTCTGTTCCTGGAATCCCCTCCCATACT